GGGGCTGCAGGCTGGGCTGGGGGCTGCGAGCAAGGCTGGGGGCTGCAGGCGGGGCTGGGGGCTGCAGGCAGGGCTGGGGGCTGCAGGTGGGGCTGGGGGCTGAGGGCGGGGCTGTCCTCTGAAGCCAAGGCAGGCCCAGCTCAGGTGCTGTATCTGTGGGACCAGAGGCAGAGACTGACAGCCAGAGACACAGACAGGCGGAAGCATGGCGGTCAGAGGGGACCAGGGGAGCTGGAGGTTGGGCTCCGACCAGGGGTGGTGGCGTGGCTGGGGTTCAAAGCCGTCTCAACATCTGAACCCCAGCATTCATGGGGAGCAGCCCAGTCTAGAGCTGGGGCCGGGCCCAGACAGTGCAGCGTGGAGGAGGTGCCCCTGGGTCAGGAGCACACTGATGGGACGCACACAGGGAAGCAGGAAGGATGTATCATTCATTGCACACCAGCCAGCCCTGTCCTGGGTATGCTGGGACCTGACTTGGTGGGTGTTGGTGTCCTGAGTGGGGGAATCAAGGAACGTTGAGCAAGGAGTGGCACAGGGCGGCTTCGGTGTAGTGCATCATGGTGACATGGGTGGCCTGGTCACACCCAGGCGTGCTCGGGGGCGGAGCCAGCGGGATGTGCCGCGGTGGGCTGAGCCTGGGTATGGAGGAAGGGGGGCCAGGATCGACTCCAGGGCTGGGTCCTTGGAAGAGGAGGTTCCGTTTTCTGAAATGGGAAGGATGCGAGAGCAGCAGGAGGTTTGGGACTTGGAGCGTGGGGTGGGGAGAACCAGAGCTGAATCTGAGACTCTGAGGTTGGAGGGGCTGTCGCTGCGTTTCCCAGGGGACCGTGGGTGTGCAGCTCAGGGAGAGGAGAGGCAGGGGCCTCAGGCTGTGCCGCCTCCAGGGTGTTTGTGACACAGCACGGGGCAGGGAGGGTGGAGGACAGTCCAGAGACCCAGCTCTGGGCCCCCGTGTTCAGGTGGGGAGGCAAGAAGCACCCGGCAGAGCAGAGAGCTGGGGTGGTGCGGGGGGAGCCACCAGGAAGGAGATGGAGAGGGCACCCCTGCCCTGGGTCACTTTCATGTCCTTCCAGAGTGAGACGGGGAAGCTGGGTCACACGGGCTGGAGGAGACCTGGAGGGGCTTCCACGGGAGCTGGGGGAGAGAACTTGGAACAGGGAGGGAGACAGCCCCTCCGGCAGCAACCTCGGGGTGTTGCTAAGCTTGGGTATTGGTCTTCTGGGGGCTGTCCCGAGCAGCGTCGATGGTGCCCCCTCCCCAGGTCTCCTCGTATCCTCTTGCCCCCGTATCCATCTGGTCCTTGCATCAGGACCCTCATTGGAGTGATTGGCGTCTGCAAGGCCCCTCTGTCCAACAAGACCACCTCCCGAGGCGCTGGGGCTAGGACCCCAAAGGCCAAGTGAGCCCCCTCCGTGGGGCCCGTGCTGGGAGGGGCGCAGAGCCGAGCAGGCAGCTCCAGGAAAACCTGTGTTTGTGACACGCCTTGGAGGGGGGAGCGCGGAGGAGAGGGAGACCCTGGGGACTGTGGCTGTGACAAGGCTGGAGGCCAAGGCTGGAGCCAGGCCACACAGGGAGGAGGTGTGTCTGAGGGCCCAGTCCTCTCTGCAGGTGGCAGCACCCGGCCCCTGCCCAGGCGGGGCTTCAGGCGGATGTGGTGAGCTCCGGTGTGTGTGGTCGCCGGGGGTGACAGCATGGCCGCCCACACCGCCGCGGGTTTCCCAGGTTCCGGGCCTGCAGGTTCCGGATCTGGGACCGCAGACACAGGGAGGCAGGAGTGCACGCCCTACGGGGGATCAGGTTCCACACACAGCAGAGAGCTTGGTTTCCTCTGCTAATCAACGGTGCCTGTTCCTGACAGCCTGTCACTTGGGGTCCGCGGTTACTCCTGGGGACGTCCCAGGTGGCTGACACCTGCAGCCAAGGCTGTCAGATCCCTTTGCCCCGGAAACACGGTGGGAGCTAAAATAATGTTTCCCTTTCACTCATCTTGTGTTGTGAGGGTCTCTCCCCGGGGCCCCCGCTGTGCTGTGGAGCACAGAGCCAGGAGCAGAACATGGTGGCCGTGTGGCTGGCCCACAGTAAGAGGCTCGTAGCGGGATCCGAGGGGCGGTGAGCTGTTGGTCCCCCCACCGCTGGTGCCACAGTACTCAGCTGAAGGTGTAGGGAGCAGGCGGGGGCATCTCAGAACTACAGACTCAAGACCTGTCTCTTCTGGGACCAAGGCCCAGGGAGGGGCTCGGGACAAAGTCCCAATCAGTGTGAGCCCAGGGCACCCTGGGGGTGTGGTCACTACCTCCACCCCCACCCCCCAAGGAGACAGTGGAGCAAGGGAAGCATGAGGAGGTAGTGCACACGTTGCACACGAGTGTGTGAGTGTGAGCTGTCTGTGCACTGTCCTTTTCTAGATACAAACTTTAAAACATGTTTTAGCTTATTTAAATGGTCTTGGGTATTCTCTTTCCGGGTTTAATTTTTTTTTTTTTAACATTTGTTTTCATCTATTTGAAAGAGCAGCAGAGAGAGAGAGAAGGAGAGAGAGAGAGAGAGAGAGACTGTCTTCCACTCTGCTGGTTCACTCCCCAAATGCCCACAACAGCCTGGGCTGCGCCAGGCCCAAGCCAGACGCCCGGAATTCCCTGCAGTCTCCGGTGTGGGGGGCAGGGCTCCCAGCACTTGCAGCCGTCCCCTGCCGCCTCCCAGGGCGCACGTTAGCCGGAAGCTGCATCCGAGGTGCAGAAGCCAGGATTCAGAGCGACGCTGCAGTGTGGAACGCGGGCGTCCTGAGCGCGGCTTCACCCACTGCCCACCCAGCCACAACGCCCACCCCAGGACACGGCTTCAATGTGCACCCTACAACGGGGTTTTCATTCTTTCAGGATAAGATTAATTCGGTTTCAGGTTATGACTGATTACATAAACAAACGTGACCAAGGATAACCAAATATTTCATTGCTCTTAAAAATAAGAGTGGTTGATGCTGTTGTTTACAGAGGCACTGTGAAAATGTGGTATTAAATCATGATACAACAATTGACGAAAATCCTTTTTGTCTTGAATATGTGTATATAATTATACACACATACACACAGGTTGGTTTGGTTTATGTCCTTGAAAACTCTTGTCATGGGTCCAGCGTTGTGGTGTAGCAGGTAAAGCTGCCGCCTGTGAGGCCAGAATCCACTGTGGGCACCGGTTCAAGTCCCCGCTGCTCCACTTCCAGTCCAGCTCTCTGCTTATGGTCTGGGAAAGCAGTGGATGGTGGTCCAAGCGGTTGGGCCCCTGCACCCACGTGGGAGACCCAGAAGAATCTTCTGGCTCCTGGCTTCAGCCTGGCTCAGCTCTGGCCATTGGAACCATGTGGGCAGTGAACCAGCAGAGGCAAGATCTCTCTCTGTCTCTGTGTCTTCCTCTCTCTCTGTTCCTCAGACTTTCAAATAAATAATAATAAAAAAAAGACTTTTGTCGCATTGCATAATAGCAAAAGCCAGTGCTGGCAGTCCACGTAGCGTAGCCTTGGTTCAGGGCCAGTGGCCGGTGCTGGCAGTCCACGTAGCGTAGCCTTGGTTCAGGGCCGGCGGCAGGTGCTGGCAGTCCACGTAGCGTAGCCTTGGTTCAGGGCCGGCGGCCGGTGCTGGCAGTCCACGTAGCATAGCCTTGGTTCAGGGCCGGCGGTAGGTGGTGGCAGTCCACACAGCGTAGCCTTAGTTTCAGGGCCAGCGGCAGGTGCTGGCAGTCCACTGCCAGGCGGCGCCCTCACAGGAGCTCCCTCTCTGCTGTTGGGGGGACTTGGTGCGAGGCGGGGTCCTGCAGAGGCCTTGCCGCTCCTCTGTCATCAGGCGCATGCGTGAGATCCTCCAGCCTTCGTCATTCGTTGGCTTGAGGAAAATGATTCCACTCTGGTTCTAACAACTTCCCGCGCAGGCTTCAGGATGAGGAAATGGAGTTGTTTTCGGGGTTGCTCGGGCAGGGGCTGTTGCAGGAATGAGGTGGGTGGGTGTGAAGAGACAGCACTGGGATTCTCGGTGCAGAGACTTTGGTAGATTTTATCCTGGTCGGGCTGGGCAGAAGGTGGTCAGCAGTGTGCAGGGTGGAGGTGTGAGGCTCGTGGACAGGCAGTGTGTTGGAGAACGCGGGGGCATCAGCCCCGTGATTGTGGACGGTGAGGCGCCACACCTGCCCCTTGGCTTCTCCGATCCCTGTCACCACTGCGTGCAGAATCTACTTGGGACTACACAGACTTTTGTTGATTCAGGCGTGGGGAACGTCCAGCCTGCAGGCCCTATGAGGTCCCCGAAACCACTGGGTCCGGCGCTGCCAAGGGAGGCGCGGGCAGGGCTTGAAGTTCAGTGCAAGCACAGCAGGTGCACTTCGGAGGTGATGGTTGTGTGTGGCCACTATCCCACCAGCCTTCGCGGAAGAAAGGTTCCCAGCCCTGGCTCACATGAAAGGCCGGATGGGCGAATGGACAGGTGGGTAGTGAGTGCCCTCTCGACCTCATGGCCTTCCACTGACCGGCTCCACCACCATCCTGCCGGCGTGCTCCGAGGCTGGGAAGGTGTGGGACCTCACGCAGACCACGTCCCAGGCACTAGGGCACCGCCCTGGACCTGGTGTGAGTGGAATCAGAGCAGAGCATCCAAGCTAGGAGAGGCTCGGAGGCTCCCTCCCCGGCCCACGCACAGCTGTGTGAGGCCGGGAGAGGCTCAGAGTCTCCCTCCCCTGCCCACGGCACAGCCGCGTGAGGCCGGGAGAGGCTCGGAGGCTCCCTCCCCTGCCCACGGCACAGCCGCATGAGGCCGGGAGAGGCTCGGAGGCTCCCTCCCTGGTCCACGGCACAGCCGCGCGAGGCCAGGTTGCCTTCGTCTGCCTCGAGACAGACAGTTTGGAATCCAGAAGCAGACACAAGCGTGCTCCTCACTCCGTGAAGGAAGGCAGTAAAGGGACCTGGAAAGATGCAAAACTGAAGCGCAACTCAGTAATTTTTTTTTCAGAAAATATATTTGATATTGATAAAAATGTGTGTTTTGCAGGTTAGCATATAATGGGTTTGCATTTCCATGGATTGAATGTCTGTATTTTGAAGTCCTGGGCTTTACCGTGTAATCCAGTGAATCTCAAGGAGTGTAACTCGCGTAACGAAAGCTTTCTGGGGCCCTCAGAAATGACTGGGTGTGAAGGGTTCCTGGAGATGCAAAGTCATTTTCAACGTTACGCTCTCGATCCCTTAGATCGCACACGTTTGTGAACTAGTGGAACCAGCTTGCCAGTAACGGGGTCCTTCTCTGTGTAGAGTAAACCCAACTCCTGTGGCAACGCGAGTTTCCTTTGGAGATAGTCAATGACCCTGTTCCAGCGGGAGTTGTCAGCAGTAGGTCCCGCGTCTGCTTTAGAAAGTGCAGAGCTCGCAGGGCCACAGGAGAAAGCTGTTTGTGACGCATAAATACGGGGCCCAGGCTCACGGGGAATCCGGACGTGAGTGTGCGGCTCGCACGCTGTCCCTGACCTTGTGATGTGCGCAACTCCGTCCTCCTGTTGAGTTTCGGAATCCTGTGTTTACCCCGAAGGTTAAACAGGAAGCAATGATTTGTGCTTCTGTCTTCATCCTCAACTCACAGGCACTTGAGCTTCTCAGTATTTAAGGGGAAAAAAATACGATCTGTTGCAAAGAGAAACGTTTGTCCCGTTGTAGCGGGTCCCTGGGGGAAGGGCCATGCCCTCAGTACCCGCAGTTCCTGTGCGCTGCTCCTGCTACAGGGGCCCGGCGCGTGACCACCTGCCCGCTGCCCGGCCGTGCGCAGATCCCTGAGTGCCGGTGGCTGGGCCTCACGCTGCCTCTACTCTCCGCAGGAACCTGACCGGCACGTTTCCCGACTACCCCACCGAAGAAGAGGGAGGCTCTGCCGTCATCTTCTCCAACAAGACCCCACAGCAGGTACGGTTCCTGAGCAATGAGCCGCCAGGGTGCTGCGGCCGCCGTGTGGGCTCTTGGTGACCTTCCCACGGACGTCCCCGTGAGGTTCTGTCAGGGTGCTCGTCAGCAGGCACCAGGAGGCTTCAAAAAGTCCAGAAAAACAGAATTAAACGGCCTTTCTTTTGGTGCAAAAAAGTTTGAAATCCATGTATGGTTTTCCATAACTCATTTTCCATGAACTTTTTGTTTTTGTTTTTAAAGATTTATTTGAAAGGCACAGTTTACGGACACACACACACACACACACAGGGAGAGATCTCCTCTCCACTGATTCACTACCCAAATGTCCACAGCAGCTGGAGCTGGACAGGTGCGGGCCCAGGAGCCAGGAGCTTCTTCCAGGTCTCCCATGTCGGTGCCAGGGGCCCAGGCACTTGGGAGGGCCAAGCAGGGAGCTGGATCGGAAGTGGAGCATTTGGAATTTGAACAGGCACCCATGTGGGAGGCCGGCTTCTCAGGCAGCGCCTTTACCCGCAGCGCCACAGCTCTGGTCACTCCCAGGAACCTTATGAAGACGCGTAAGGCCCATTTTCTGCCCTGGGTTTCAGGTGTGTCCACCCTTGGTCCTGGGTCACCTTGGAGAGGGGTGCTGACGCGGGAGGCTCATTTTCTCGGTAAATGCTCAGAGCTGGATTTCCGGAGCCCTTTCTGTGCTGGTCTCCCGGCCCCTCCCAGTGCAGCCCCTGTCCCCACCACTGTCAGCGTCCACTCATCCCACGCTCCCCAGGCCTTGGCACCTGCCGCTGTGCTGCCTGGGGGCCTGGCCCGCCCTCACCTCCCTCCAGAGCCCTCCTGCCCTCTTCCCGGCCTACTCCCTGTGCACCTGCAGGATTCACGTCTGCAGGACTCCACTCCGCGGCTGATGCGGTCGACACTGAAAGCTGCTTTCAAAATATCTTTGTTATCTCCAAGGAGGAAACTCTTCTCCAGCTCACGTGTACCATGAAAGCCAAGGGCACACACAGTTTATGCGTGACCTTGATGTGTCAGAGGCATTCCTACTAAAAGGGAAAACTTGTTAGAGGTTCCTATCAGAACTGCGAGTTAATGTTTCCTCGGAAGTTTAACAAATGTAATAAGATAAAAAGGAGCTGTAAATATTTAATAAATGAGGATATTATTTTTTACAATTACATGATTCTATTTACAGAAAACTCAATGAGTTTAATAAGAAATTATATTGATAAATATTTTTAAAGATTTATTTATTTTACTTGAAAGTCACACAGAGAGAGAAGGAGAGGCAGAGAGAGAGAGAGAGAGAGAGAGAGAGGCTTCCATCCGCTGGTTCACTCCCCAGATGGCCACAATGGCCCGGAGCTGCACCGATCCAAAGCCAGGAGTCAGGAGCTTCCTCCAGGTCTCCCACGTGGGTGCAGGGGCCCAAGGACTTGGGCCATCATCTACTGCTGTCCCAGGCCACAGCAGGGAGCCGGATCGGAAGTGGAGCAGCCGGGTCTCTTACTGGCGCCCATATGGGATGCCGGCACCACAGGTGGTAGCTTTACCTGCTGCCCAACAGTGCCGGCCCCTATATTGATAAATTTTACAGAATTGTACAGAATTATATTGATAAAAATTTACTGAAGAAAATGAAAGATTTGAACAAGTAGATTGAGGAATTACTTGAAATCACTAAAAACTCCGAGTGCAAAAGCACATTACTTTTCCACTACTCTGTGCTGTGAATCCAATTCCAATCCGAATCAGCAGTTTGAGTGAAAAGCTCACTCTGAGGTTCATAGAGAAGTGGGCTCAGGAGATGTCCAGAAAGTCCCAAAACAGGAAGAATGCAGGGGCCTGTCCTGGTGACTTGAGTTGAGATTGAAAGATACAAAGCAAATTAAACACAGCAGTACTGGAAGAAGAGCAGACCGCAGGGACAACAAAAAGAGCATTTATGGGACAAATATTCTGTGCCAGATAGTATGCAAAGTGCTTTATGTAAATTAACTCACTTCGTCACCCAGCCTTCGAAATCAAGAGTAGGCTGATGTATTGAACAACACAAAATTCAAACGGCAGATTGCACAAGTGATGTTAAAGTCGTATTATAAACTAAGGAAAATATTTGCAACTGTGACGCAGAGAATCTTTCATCTGTAGAGGTCATAGAAAACAGTAGGAAAATTCTGAACCAGCACCATGAAAAAGAAGGCAAAGAAGAACCGAAATGTAATAAAATAGATGTTTGGAACACACTGGCAGAGAAATTTAAATGCAGGATGATCTTCCTCCATCTCCTCACCTGTGTGGTTGGTGAAAGTTTGAAATCATGATAGTGAGTTGGGGTGCGTGTGGGAAAAGTCATTCCCATCCATTGTTGCTGGATACATGTGTTAGCATGAAATTTATATGCATAGATATTTTTCAAGGATTTATTTATTTATTTGAAAGAGTTACAGAGAGAGGGAGATCACACACACATGCACACACACACACAGGGAGATCATCCCTCCACTGCTTCACTCCCCAAATGACCACAACAGCCAGGGCTGAGCCAGGCTGAAGCCAGCAGACAGGAGCTCCATCCGGGTCTCCCCCGTGGGTGCAGCTGGACTGGCAGTGGAGCAGAGCAGCGTGAGCCGGAGCCCGCAGGGGATGCGGCGTCCCAGGCCGCGGCTTTACCTGCTGCAGCACAGCACAGCCCCAGCACGACGTTTTCAGAGGAGCGTGGATCCAGGCTGGCATCGGGGCTCAGTCAGCAAGGCCAGCATCCCATACGAGCGGCGGTTCGAGTCCCACCTGCTCCAGGTCTGACCCAGCTCCCTGCTAATGAGCCAGGGAAAGCGGCAGAAGACGGCCCACGTGCTGGGGACCTGGCCCACGTGAGAGACCTGATGGCTGTAGTTCCAAGCTCCTGCCTTCCGCCTGGCCCAGCCCCAGCATTGCAGTGAAACGGCGGATGGAAGATTCATTCTCATTCATTTGCTCTCTCTCTGTCTCTCTCTCTCTCTCTCTCCCTCTCCCCTCTCTCTCGCTCCCTCCCTCTCCACCCCCCCCTTCTCTCTCTCTCCCTGCCTTTCAAATAGACAAATCTTTAAAAAGTGAGCGTGGATCAAGGACATACCAGGAATTTTAATGTGTATGCCCTTTTACTCGTACGCACTATTTGAAGAATTTATACTAAAAAATAATAAGACAAGTCGCCATAGAAGAGAAATCAGTGAGTGTTTGCCCTAAAGGGCTGAAGAGTCAATATTTTAGGTTGTGGAACTCAGGTCGTCTGCCACACGGCTCAGCTCTGAAAGCCACCAGAAGCCCCCTGTGAACGGATGGCGGGCTGCGGGCCCCTCAGTCGTCATCCCGGACCCCAACGGCAGGCCTGCTCCGGCCCACGCGGCGTGATTTGCGGATGTCTTCCATGGAGGATTTCGAAAGCTGTTTGTGTCTGCCTTGTTTGTAGTGTGGACAAAGAAGAAAACCCAGAGCAGCCTCCAGCAGGGAGCTGGTGGGGGACAGCAGCACGCCCCCCCCCCCCCGTCAGCCTCCTGTGTCCCTTCACCCGTGTGACCCCGCAGGCCGTGCACATGGGGCTCCCCTTCAACAGGAAGTGCCACGCCCCTCCCATCCCGTCACTCCCAGCCTTCCCTCTTCCCCAGAGCGCCCCAGCCTGCTCCCCGGAGCTCCACGGAAACTACGTACGGACCCTGCTGTTGGGCAGCTCATCAAGCCCTGCCTGGCATTTAGTTCTTGTCCCCCAGCTGACGTGCCGGGCACAGGTAGAGTCCTGAGCGGCCAGTGGCCAGCACAGGATCAGGTGTGAGTGGAAGGTCTGAGTGGCCAGCGAGCGGCATTCAGAAGTGGAGTTCACCGCCAGTCAAACCCAAAACCAAAGAGAACTCAGAGCAATGGTGTTACCTCCTTCAACTAAATCAGGGGACACAGAGGAGAGTGGTTGTGTTGTTGAGACAGACAGAGCTCCCGTGTACTGGCCGTGGGCTGAAGCCAGTAGCCAGGGACTCGATCCGGGTGTCCCATGTGGCTGGCACAGAGCCAGCTGCCCAAACCCTCTCCTCTGCCTCCCAGGGTGCACAGTAACAGGAAGCTGGAGCCGGAGCCAGAGCAGGTTACCACACTCGGGCACCTGATGGGGACGTAGGTGTCCCTGCCAGTCCAAACATCCACCCTCAGGCGACTGACAAGTCAGGTGGCATGTTGATTAAATATCACGCGGCACCACACAGAAGTCTGCGATTCCTCCTCTGTCGTGGGCTTCTCCTCTGTAAATGGAGATACCGGCAACACCTGCCCCCTGGTCAGAGGGGGTAATCAGATGAGATGGCACAGTTCCGTACTTAAACAGAGCCGGCACACTGACACCTGCCAAAGCCGTGGCAGTGGTCACGGGTTGTGGTTGTGGTTGTGGTTGTGGTTGTACCCATTGTGGAAGCCGCATGAAGACAGGCTGAACCAGGCGTGATCACCGTGACAACGTACCTACATGGTGAAATCTATATTTGTAAAACACAAAGATGACGCGAGGATGTTCTGTGACATAAGCGTAGCACTGATGCTAAGCCCGAGTGAGTGCAGATAAAACCACGGCTCTGTTTTGCTTTGGGGTATCAATGCATAATGCAAACTAACATATTCTCACGCTAAAGCCAGCCGCACGTTAAATCAGTAAAACACGGAACTGAGTGGTGGTTATTCCCGAGTGCAAGAGCAACTCAAGTCCGGGATGTCTAAAGAGACGTCTTCCACAGAGAGCCCAAAGGGTGATGAAAGGACAACTTACTACCTCAGTGGCCGTTCCTGATACTGAAAGGTAACACTCAGAGGGCCAGTGCTGAGGCATCACTGGTAAAGCCGTCTGTAACGCCTGCACCCACATGGTTGCCGGTTCAAGTCCCGGCTGCTCCACTTCCCATCCAGCTCCCTGCTCATGCACCTGGGAAAGCAGCAGAGGATGGCCCGGGTGTTCAGTCCCCTGCCACGTGGGAGACCTGGATGAAGCT